ACCTTTTGCTGTTGTCACAACGATACTGATGTTTTTATACTTTCTAAATGTGACTTTATACCAGGCAGCACTTGTGAGTTTTCCATGGAGGGCTTCTGTTCTTCACAGGAGGTGCTGAGCTCTCAGAGTCCCTCCCAGTGCCTGTGGCTCTGCACAGCTACCCCGAACCTGCAACTCTGCAGTCAGCTGGACCAGCCCCAACAGAGCTGTGGTGTTCCATTTGTGTAATTAATATAGCTCCTAAAAGATGACTGCATATCTAAATGATAGGCCGTTAATGGCTCCAGGGAGCTCTCGTGGCTCATCCTCATAAGCAACTCTTTAGATTCCAAAATAGATGCACAGTGAAGCCTTTCTTGTCACCGCGGGGTGACCTTCTCATAAAAGGCTCTTCTCTGCCACAGTTGTGATCTCACTTTCTGTCAGATGTTCATATTTTAGTCTAACCCTATAAAATTAGGAAGTCAAATGCTTTTTGGCACAGACTCGTTTGGTGCGGTGTCATCTTTCAGCAGCATCTGCTTCTGCAAATAGCAGTGATCGATTTTTGTCTTCAGCTGCCTGTTACCAAAATTTTAAAGACATAGCGGAGTGACTCTTGCGTTGAATTAATAGCAGATCATCTTTGGAAAGATGACACTGCTGTTAAGTGCTAAGATTGACAAAAAGAATTTCAGTCGTGCTGGGATGATAATTGATTTGGTGCAATGTCTTTCTGTCTCCGGGAACGTTTCTGTTGGTCTTACTGCATATGCACCCCTACTGAGATCAGAGCAGCAACTACAATTTCAGATATCTTAGATCTGTATTTCTATTCCAGCTATTTCTCCTTTTATATTATCTTTCCCATTTTTTGTCAGTTAGCAGTCTCTAATTTATAGCACTTAAGAAAACAAAGCGTCACTAAGTAAAGGCACAGTGTTACATGTTGATGCATAGAAATGTACTCAAATTGGTGACAAAACATTCTGAAATTGGTGGCTAAATGTTGTTTGTGTTTGCAAGGCCTAAGGTGACTGCAGGGTTAGTGGTGTCTGACAGTGGGTGTGCAGAGCATGAGTCGCAGAGGCGCTGGTTTGGGCAGGGACCTCTGGAGATCATCAGTCTGACCCCATTGTGATGGCTGGGGCAAGTGCAATGTCAGCTCTGGTTGCTCAAGGCCTTGCACAGTCCCTCCAGCCCCACTCTGTTGCACAACCATCCCTGTTGTGAAACTTTCTCCCCTGTGTTCTGCCAAGTCGCCCTTGCTGCAGTTCACACCGTTCCTCTCATCCTCTCCCTGGGGAGAGCGAGGAGGTCACACAGCAAACTCATTGCCTCGCACTTCAGGAGGGCAGATTTTGGCCTCTTTAGGGATCAGCTTGGTAGTGTTCCATGGGATAAAGTCCTGGAGGGAGAGGGGGGCTCAGAAAGCTGGTTAATATCCAAGGATCACATCTTCCAAGCTCAGGAGCAGTGCATCCCAACAAAGAGGAAGTCAGGCAAAAATGCCTGTGTGGGTGACCAAGGGACTCCTGGACAAACTCAAACACAAAAAGGAAGCCTACAGAGGGTAGAAGCAATGACAGGTAGCCCGGGAGAAATAAAGAGAGATTGTCTGAGCAGACAGGGATCAGGTTAGGAAAGCTAAAACCCTGATAGAAATAAGTGTGGCCAGGGACATCAAGGGCAGCAGGAAAAGCTTCTGTAGGTAGGTAATTTTCCCTATTCCGTTTATCACTGACAGCACCAAGTTGAGTGGTGCAGTTGACACTCTGGAGGGGAGGGATGCCATCCAGAGGGTCCTTGACAGGCTGGCGAGGTGGGAGTGTGCAAATCTCAAGAAGTTCAACGAGGCCAAATGCAAAATTGCATTTATTGCAAATATTGCAGTTCTTGTTAAAACACAAGATGTGGGGAAATGAGCACGATTGTTTAAACTGACACTCTGAATCAAGCTCTCTTTTGAGTGAACAGTCTTTAAGAAAATAAAAAGAAAGAACTGAATAAGCCAATATCACTAGAGTGAAACATTTGCTTTCAAAGCCTCCTGTGCTGCAAACAATAGTTTTCAAAACAGAGAGTACAGTCATGATTTAGATTTTCATTTTTTCCCCCTAGGAAGTCTGAGTTACCGAGACCCAGACTGGCTGTCAGTGAGCTGTGTATAGATTAGCCTGGCTAGTTATGAATTCTGTATTTCTACAAAATTAGTTGGTGTTAAACATTGCCGAGATTGTCCATAATAACTTACCTCCTGCTTCAAACAGGCTGAGCTGCAGCAGAGCACAAGGGGTGTGTTTACTTCATTCTAAATAAATGTTTTATCACTCAGCAGTAATTGGATTGTGATTGTATTACAGTAATTATTCCCAACAGCAAATCTGTTCTCCACTTTGCAGGCGTGTTCCCTGCCTGACCTTCACGCTGCTGGTCTGAAGGTGTCCTTCTTGATCTAATTCTCTGCAATGAGTTTTTTGGGGTTGTTGTTTAGGAAAGGGGAACTGCTGCCAGGGGTGGAATAATTTATCTTTGCTCCACTTGTCGTGGTGCAAAAGTATCAGCACTTCAGTTCATGCTTGAGCTTTTAGCTGACCCTGGAGAGGCAGAGCCACGCAGGGCTTTTTCAAAATGCATCATGACATTTCAGGCTGTGTAGAACCACACTTCTCTCAGTATCACAACCCAAATATCCTGCCAGGATTTCTCATTTCTCTTTGCAGAAATTTGTTCTGTATTTAATGTGTCTATAGACAAATAATTTCCTAAAGTATCTCGTGGCTGACCAAGGAATTCATCTGCTTGTCTGAGGATCAGACAGAATCTGCAAGGGAATTCTGGATCACTGGGTGGCAATTTTGTGTGCAAGAATAATGTTCAGGGATTAAATCTTAATGGGTTTCCAGAACAGCTAATATTTTTTCAAGAGGAAAGCGCTGCTGAGTATCCTTAGAGAGGACTGCCTTGTGACAGCCTGCCTTCTGTACAGACTGCTGTAGGAGAGAGCATTACACAGACCCCACCAACCCATCACAGAACATCCCCTGTGTGTCTGTCTGAAGCTCTAAAATTTGTTTGATTGCCTGCCTGACAGATTATATTTATTTCAAGTGTATGGCATTCAGCAGTGAACTTATTTCCACAGTCCAGAATTAGGCTATTCTGATGCTATTTTCTGTTAACTCTAGTCCTGATCCTGCTTTCTGAAAATGATGGTTTCTGCATCACCTAAAACATATGTTTCAAGTATGAGTAACCTATTGCAGTGTCTAGAGAACCTTGTCTTACCAGAACAAAACCATTTACTTGGTTTCAGTGCTTGCTTCCATGATGCTCACAGGTTCTGCTGAACCATTTTATCATCAAGAGCAGTGCAGTGGCATTAAGCTGTGAGCAGCCTTTAGCTGTGTTTGCAGCTGTCATGGCCTTGTGTTGCAGCTCTGTTACAGCATGTTTGCTGTGCCAGACAGCTTCTTCCTTTGGACTGGGACTCTTCACAAGATATTAGCAGTGCTGTAAGTCACAGGACTGGCCAGTTTAAGTGAGAGGAGTCTGTGCAGCATCTCAAGCTGGACTGGTTGCACTAGTGAAGAAATCTTCCTTTGGAGGTACTGAAAGCCTTTTGATCCTGACTTGCTGAGAAGTTAAATGTCATGTTTTCTTCCTGTGTTGGGTTTTTTTGCTGTCTGTGCTAGAAATCAGTATTTCCATCCTCTCATGTGTCATCACTTCCCTCCCTGTTGTGCTGCTGCCACCCCACAGCCAGAGCCATCTCCCGTGGGGAGCCACCTCTGCTTTCTCCACACAGCCCTGGGGAGCTGCTTTGCTCTGGGAACTCGTGACCCTGCAGTGATGGAAACCTGTTTGCTGAATGGATTTCCAAAATTATTTGTATGCAGTGGTTCTTGAATCACATGAGCAGAGTGTTGGATGGTGTAACAGCTAAAGGAAGAAGGATAAAGCGCTCGTATCCCTAATCCCACCAACTACCCAACCCACCTGTGCACCCTGTGAGAATGTAGTTTTATTAGCTCTTAATGGATCAGCAGCATTCTCCCTTTTCTTTTAACTCCTGCTTGTTCTAAAGAATGATTTAAGCAAATGAGAACAATGTCAGTGCTCTTGGCCACATCCTTTCTTCTCCTCAGTATGGGCGAGCTCATTGAGAATAGTGCTTGGGAGACTTATGAGACCTGCTTTTAAAAATCAAAGTATTCATGTTTACAGGGTTATTTTGACTCCTCTGTCTCTCTTTGTACTCTTAACTTGTTTGTTATTACCCCAAGTTTCTTAAATACAGCCTAGAATTGAGAGGTTGATCTATATATCTGGCTTACTTGAGTAATCCAGTAGGAGAGTGGACTCAAAAGAATTAATTTATGAAAAGAAAACTAGAGCAGGAAACTCAAAAACTTACTATTTATAAAAAGAAAAAAAAAAGAACTTTTGTCAGCTAATTAAGCCTTTCTACACAAACAATGTAGAACTTGACTACTTCTACCCAAGGCAAGTTATGTGGTATTTATAAGGTATTTGTGGTCTTGGAAAGCCTCATTTTTGTCCTGTTCTGTTCACAAATATAAAGGTGAGTTTCTGCTTGTAAAACAGTGCTGTTTAGTTTTTGAACTTGGCTTATTTTTGCAGTGCATGGAACCTGGCTGGGATGAAGTAGCCCAGCCTGTCTCGTGGGCAGCAGTTCAGTTCAACATTCAGTGCATGAGGTCGAGTTACCTGGCAATGTGCTGTGATGATGGATTGCAGGTCTAGAGGCCAAGGCCTCCAGCATTGTAATCTCTTGTGTGCTGGGCTTTAAGCTTCCCTTCTCCAGTTTTCCCACTGTACAGTCAGTTTTACGATTGAAAAGCTGCTGAAAAATAGTATTTTAGCAAGTACTTTAGCAGTACTGTGTGATTTAGTGTGTGCTAAAAAAATTAAATCACTTTTGGGCGTGATGTAGGGCTGTATAAGCAAAACTATATTTTTCAAAACAACTCTTTTATTGTTATGTTTAATATTTCCAGGGAGGGATGAAACCATGCAGCCAGCCAAACCATCATTCCTTGAATATTTTGAGCAGAAGGAGAAGGAGAATCAAATCAATAGCTTCGGGAAGAATGTGTCTGGCCAGACAAAAAATTCATCTGATTGGAAAGTACCACAGGATGGAGACTACGAATTTGTAAGTCTGTACTTTGAAATTCAATCAGTGTGACAATCCTTTAAGAATTTTAGTCAGAGCTGCTATAAGATTATTTCTTGTTTTGACAGACTAATGGAAACTTGAGGAGATTCTAATGGCTAATGCATTTGGATGGGGCATTTTGAAAAACTCGTTTTCTTTAGGTATTTCTCAGTAATCATAACCAGTCACTGTCTCTATACTTTCCTTGTTTAAAAGCAAACAAAACGAACAAAAACGCCTGAGGACATGACGGTACAAGCTGTCTTGCTTTACTTCCCCATTATGCATTTAAAATAATAATAAAAAAAAAAATCCAGATGGTAGTTGGAAAATGCAAATCCACAGTGTGTAATGCCTGACAAAGAAGTGTTAGAACCATTGAATTCCCTTGTTTTTCTCAAGCTGTGGCACTGGGCTTTGTTTTAATAGATAAACATCAAGCTCGTCTTTAATTACTCTTTCAAATCCTTAATTTTCAGCCTTCCTGCCTACGATTCACACTCTTTCAGAATTTTCGTGAACTTTTCGGAAGTCCAAAGAAAGAGCCATTATTCATAAATTTGATTTTTTTTTTTTTTTTTTTTTTTTTTGGTGGGGATGGAAGATCTCTGGTCTGAGTTCCCAGTGCCAGCAGCAGCGTGCTCAGCTGAACGCTGCATTTTCACACAGTGATCCTTCACTGCCAGCACTTGTTGCTCTCAGTGCCCTTGTGCTGCCTCGTCGTGCTGCCTGTGGCTCAGGTTGTCACGCTGGCAGGAGCTGGTGATATTCACTCCACCTTCACAGAGCGTGCAAAGCAAAATCCCTCTGCCAGTCACGACTCGAGGAGATGCTTCTCTTCAAGGCCAGAATAATCTCTGGAGCTTTTCATCATCTTTGTGCATGTTGTAGGAGACTTAACTGCTATTATGTGTATTTTGTTGTCTGTGCTGCTGCTTCTCCTGTTTTCTCAGGCTGCAGAGGATGGCTGAGGGGACCTCCTGTGTTCTCTCTCCTTTTCACTGTGCTGTGTTCAGCCCAAAAGCTTAAAGTCACTGCATAAAGATGTTTTGCAAATATAACCCTCAAGCTGCCTGTGTGTCACAGGGTCTGGGCCAAACACACGGTTCCAGTCGAGTCAGACACTTCATGTGTCTCATTCACCTTGTGTGCTGCACCCTAATCTAATGATAAATAATTGTTTATCAGTGTGTGGCATTTCCCAGGAAAGGTGGGCTGGTTTGGAGTATCTCAGAAGTCTTTTGTTGTCTGCAGAAGGTGGCCCAAGGGGAAACTTGCTGTAACTATTTTACTTTCTAATGCGATTGATAACAAGTTTAGCAGTGTATTCCATGTGTTCCACCGTGCTCCCTGGGAGCTGTGGGTGCAGGGTACACCCAGGGAGCACGGATAACACGAGGGAAGGTCGGTGCCACTCCAGCAAACGGGACCTACAAATATTTTTAGAACGTGCAAAGCAGTTATTTGACACACGTGACCCCGCTTACTGATTTCCATTAGTGCTGCAGTATTGCCATGTGCACAGATTAGCAGTGTGCTGGAAGCAATAAAAGTGAGCAATAAATTGGCCTTTGGGTCACCTTCCTGTAATAATTTGTAGAAATCTCGCTTCCCAGCTGTATGTGTTTCTCTAGTTCAGTTGCATATGAATATGCCAACCTGCCTTGCATGTAAATTTTGGAACAGAGCTACTTTATTTTCTGTAGGATAAGAAAATTACTTGAAAGCAGCCTTGATAAATAATGTGGGTGTTCATATAGCCCTTATCTGAGGGTTTGTAGCAGCGAGCTCACGTTGTGTAATGTATTTAAAGACTTAAAATCGTGTATTTTTTACCATTTGCCCAAAAATTGATCAATTTGATAGCTAGCTGTGGGTAAAAGTCATGTTTATTAATGATTTATTAATTGAAATCATCAATGCAATGAGCACTGTGGAATAAGAAAAAAGTGCATTCACTGGGTGTATCCAGTAAATCTGTCCTAGATCTGCCTGCAGCTGTAACTTACTTCTGCATTGTCAAAATAGGCAGGTTTGAGCAGCCTTTTTTTATAGAGTTTGCAGGTTTCCAAGTAGAGATGAGATCAGTGAGATGCTGGGTAAATACTAGTTCCTCTGGGCCTTAAGAAATGATTGAAATATTGTAGCTTTGTGCTACTGGAGACTAGATAAATATGCCTTCTCTTCTTTATTCCTTCCCTCCTACGTGAGTAGCACCTGGAGTCTTCTGTCCTCCAAAAAAAAAAAAAAAAAGGGAGGGGGCAATATTAAATTACAAAAGATTTTTTTTCTCTTTTTCCCTGTGGCAAAACCATTTGACCTTTTCTTGACTAACATTGTTCCTCTGAAGCAGGCAAATAAGACACTATTTATATCACCGTGGCCATGTCACGTTGGATGAGGGTTAGATTGACTCAACCCCATCCACTGCAGAGGTGGTGAACTCCATTCCTCCCAGATGTGATGCTCTGGCTGTGTCCTGGTTGTGGTCAGAGATGGCATTAACCCAGAGTGTTTCCAGCCTTGGATTTCTGAGGCAGAAGTTGTTATTAACTGATTAGTCAATGCCTGATGCTGTTAATGTTTATCCCCACTCACGCTTGAACAAGGATCTCTAAAGATTTAAGCCCTGCTTGATTGCAAACAATGTTTTCAACAACATTATGATTTATTTAATGTGGGGTGGGGGGAAATAGTAATTATGGGCAAAAATGCTTGCTTTTAGGAAAAATACAACAAACTCTTAACAGGAGACTGCTGCAGGAGTAGGCTGTTAATGGGCAGGCTGCATTGTACGGAGAATTCCTAATTGCCATAATCAGATTTCAGAATTTTTGTAGTTGAATTTAATTTTGCCAGTGAACATTAGTCACATGCTGTTGCACAGACTTAATAATGCTAGAAGATTTGTTTAGACAATGTCCTACATTTTTTCACTTTAATCTTTCAGTAGTACTGTAACATAAGGGAAAATTATGTGTTTGCTGCCCTTAGACACAACAAACCCTTTACTTATTCTTATTTTAAAAGCCTTTTAACCGCTCTGGGCAGGTCAGTGTTCTAATATCACTTGTGGCTAAACTGGTATCACTTGTTTTCTATTCTGGCCCTGTTCGAAAGGCCTTCAGTCTTGCCAAACCTATTGTAGCACACATTTGTGGATCAGCCAGTCACCAATGTTTTGTATTACAACACTAATCCTTTTACTGAAGGCCAGTTTTGTTAACAAATTAGCAGGTGCCAGCGACTGCTGTGATAACACTGAAACCTTTTCAGTTCTATTTCATGACTGTGGTTTCACTGGTGAAAATCAGTGGCAGTAGAGCCCTGGTCAGTCTCAAATTTTGCCACCACGATGCAACTGCTGTGTTTTTAATACCTGTATTAACCTTAGGTTTTACTGTAACTCTAAGTCATATTTTTTTATGTATCAGTGAGTCTTTGCTAGTCAGGTATCCTGGGGGCACGTTTTGGATGTGAAGTCAAATAGGACATGAACTTTTAACAGAGACTAGAGCAAGGGTACTGCAGGATATCAGATCTTTCCACAGGCTTTACACATAAAGTTGAGGCCATTTGCTCCAAGGCCTTTTTGCTTCTGACACCTGTGTATCTGCCAGGAGCTGGGTTGGTACAGTCACTTTTACAGTGTCTGAGCTGCTCTTGCTCTTGGTGCTTCCCTGGAAGAGCAGCAGGTGGGAGCTGGGCTGTGGAGGGAAGGCAGTGCCATTCCTCTGCAGGATCTTGGTGGGGAGCTGCCACCAGCAGCAGTTGTTGTCTGCACTGGCAGTCTCCACCCTGCTGCTGCAGTGCTGGGGAGGAAGCTGACATTCAGAAACGAGGTTTATGTCTCTTTCCTAAGAAACATTCTGCTTCCTTTGGGAAGACCTTGATTTGCTTGCATCTGCGAGGTCTTGGTGAGTCAGACTTTTCCCTTTCCTGCAATTATCAACAGCTGTAATTCGGGTCTTTCCTTCTCAGTCCTGGACTTAATGAAGAGGATCTGCCTTCACAGCAGAAAAAACTTCGGAGCAGAACTGTTTTTCCTTACAAAAATAAAATTAACATATGCCCTTGAGAGTGTCAAGGTTTGCAGAAGTGGAAGGAGCAGACACAGCCAGTGTCTCAGATGTCTGTGGGAGGGCTGTGGAAGGTGGCTGCTGCCCTGGCCTTTGTTCACAGCTTCACCACGCTGCAGTCTGCTGGGAGTGAACCCGTGTGCCAGCTCTCGTGTTCCCATGCTGTGAGTGCCATTCCCTGCACCAGCCCATCATTTTAGCTCCTTTTGAGCAGTGTCTCTTTGGCTGCTGATGGGAATTTCTTTGGACAGGAAAGATTGCTGTGATTTCCCTTGGTTCCAAAACAGACTTTATCACTTTTCAGTGCTCAGTGTCATCTGTTTCTCTACTGCTGGGGAAGACTGTCCTGCAAACAATATAACTGCGGCTTCTGAAACTTTTCCAGGGCAAAGGAAGGATTAGCAGGAGGTGTTAATTGCCTCTAACTGGGGGGAAGAATGTAAGTGCTGACCAGCTGCCACTTTTGTCAGGGCTGCACAGTAGTGAGAGTCCCCACGTACACTGGTCTCCACCTCACCATTTGCCCGGCAGAGAAGGGTGAGTAGCAGGAGTTGTGGGATCAAACCCAGCTCTTGCCCCAGCTACAGATCTCCTTCCAGTAACCAATAGTCTGGCCTGTTGCTTCCAAAGTGCTTGGGCCACAACTTACTGTCAGTACCTGACTTCTCCAGGGAATGTGCTCCTTAAAACTGACTAGCTCTGAAATGAGACCTCTTTGTTTCAAAAGCATCTGCAGACCACTTGCTCTTGTGGTCTCTGGTTTTGTTTCCTTACAAGGAAGGAAACTGTGTTGGTCTAACAGTGTCTTCAGCTTGTTCAGTTGGACAACAGGCTGTTAGTTTGTGGTGAAACCTTGAATGTGAGTCCTTCTAGTTGCACAAATTAGGTATTGGTGTGATAGCAAGAGATCGAAAGTGT